TGGACTATGGACTGGACTTTGGACTATGGACTATGGACTATGGACTTTGGACTTTGGACTTTGGACTTTCGATTTAGAAATTGTATTATTTTTTAGATTTTCGTATAATTATATTAAAATTTAAACAGATAACGAAAATTTGCTGCTGAAAAGCGTGCTACACTGCATGCACATGCATGATATAATAATATACAAGGTAAAAAATCTCTAGTATCAGTTATATAGGTATACCAGCAGTGCAATTTCATACGGATATAGCCTGTAGGATAGCAGGATTATCCAATATTTTGGGATTTAATATTTACATTTTATATAATATTTGTATTTATAGTATGCATAGAGTACAGTATATACTGCAGAACTTCTTCTTTATCATATAGATAATAGATTAATTGTCAGAAACAATTGTGACAAAAGTGTCTCGGCAAATACAAAATATTAACTATACAAGTGATTATTATCGCGCCTATTGAGTATTGAGTATTGTGACTGTTCATCTTTGCATAATAGTTTATACTAGTACTGCAGTATTGTGTAATTGTTTACTCCGTTACACAGTAACGTTTTGTTAATGTTACTTATTTTTGAAAGACATTCTAGTTAGCTATCCTTATCACTATAAGACTAAGTGCTTCAGTTGTTAGTAGATGGACAGGAATATTCGACTAACGGAAATTTACACACTTTTTAAGACCTACTCAGTTGCAGACATGCCAACTTTTGGAGTAAGCAAAGAGGGAGATTGGGAAGTATGGTCAGACAATGACCTTAGTGGCGCGGGCCAAGGTCCCTGCGCTCATTTTGAATTTTAAGCGGTCTAATTCCAGTTGATTGCCTGAGAAACATTTTCGAAAATAATTGAAGAAATTAGCTTTTTAATTTTTATTTCAAATTTTAGACTATTGATTCGAATAAGTTGTTAACTCAGATGAATTATATGAAGAAGAAAAAGCGAAAAAAGTGCAATGATTGATGAAAATATTATGCATTGTTGAAGTTGTTGAACTACATGAAGATAAAGTCGGGAGTTTTACGATAATATTCAAAATCGTGCGGGAGATGAAATTGAGCTGTAAAAACGGGAGTCTCCCGGAAAAATCGGGAGAGTTGGCATGTCTGAGTTGTGTGTGAGAAGGCAAAAATCTATGTCTATATGTGCTTCAGGTAGTCTAGCAACTATTTGCCACATTTACTCAGTAATACTACCACTTGCAAGTGATGAACCAGGCGGGAATCGCAATCGTAGTATAAAGATTAATGCTCAGCCGCATAACGTACGCAAAAGAGCCATATATAGACAATAATAAATATATACATAAAGTAATACTAATTACTATAGATTATCATAAAGTAATCAGTAGGCTACTATACCAATTATATAATAATGTATCATACATTCGTATTTTATAAAGTATGATGACTATGAGAGTTTCCCTTACAAAAAAGTCTATAGGTGGCCTATAGGTGGCCTATAGGTGCCTATAGGAAATGTTCCAATTCCCTATAGAAGCCTTTAGGCATCTATAGAGCTCTATAGGCTTATAGGCATCCCTATAGGTCACCTATAGAAAATGTTCCAATTGCCTATAAAAACCTATAGGTTTCCTATAGGAACCTATAGGTTGGCCTATAGGCCAGGCCTATAGACTTTTTTTGTAAGGGTTTCGTGTTCACTATGGCTGAATACATTTATTAAAAGCTAAAACTGACACAGACAAAATACATTGTAAACACAGCCTATTTAGGCAGGCGCTAAACCGGTGTAAACTATTATGCAAAGATGAACAATATACCGTCATTAGTATTTTTGCGCAAGTGAATAAATAGTACAACAAATCCTACAAGTTGTCAAGTTGATTGGTCAAATTTGACAAATTCCCTAGCCTCCTTCGCAGACATCAGAGAGAACGTACACAACTGGCGCCTGCGAGAGAGACTACAAATTCCCGGATAATCACGGCCTCGCCTTCGGCGAATAATTGTTCAAAGCCAAAGGCGCAATAATAATCGCGTGTAGTTTATACTTATACGTGATAGTTTCTCAATATTTTGTATTTGCCAAGCTACTTTTGTCGCAATTGTTTCTATAAATCTATTATATATACGATAAAGAAGAAGTTCTGCAGTATAAACTGTACTATACATACTATAAATACAAATATTATAATAAAATTTAAATATTAACTTAAAAATATTACTGAGATGATCCTGTTATCCCACAAGCTATATCTATGAAATTGCACTGGTATACCTATATAACTGACAGTATTTTTTACCTTGAATATTGTATCATGCACAAATTTTCGTTCTCTGTTTAGATTTTAATTAATATAATTATACGAATATTTTAAAAATATAATTTCAAAATCGAAAGTCCAAAGTCCATAGTCCAAAGTCCAAAGTCCAAAGTCCATAGTCCAAAGTCCATAGTCCATAGTCCAAAGTCCAGTCCAGTGTTTACAATATGCCCGTTTGAAACGGGGCGTTTACCTTTGGAAACGGAAATGTTTCACTGCTCATGTGACGTGTTACAATGCAAAGCCTATTTCAGTTATTTTTATGTTTTGATGTGCTTTCGTGCACGTTTCAGTATTTCCAAGCTCACGATATTGTAAGAGCGACCAAACTTGTTTATATTCATACCTTTTGTGACTACAACATATTATCATCGGCTTGGAAATATTGAAACGTGCACGGAGGCACATCAAAACATGACAGTTGCGCCAAAAATAGCTTAAGGTAATTCCGCAGTAATTGTTCCCGAAATGAGAATGTGCTGAAACTTCCCAGGCATGAAGTTTATGATATACTTAAAGTAAAATCACACAAAAAAGTCGGGGTCACCGAACTCGTTAAGAAGATATGACAATCACAATATACAACCTTTACCCCAATACGGCGCCATCTTGACGCTCATTACGAGTAACAGCAAAATCACAACAGCCCGATATTTACTGACGTTTTTAGCACGGATTTTGCTTTAGTAAACCTATCTTGTAATTATTTTTAAAAAAATTGTGTTTTGAGCAAAATGAAACAACTAACGTGTACAATTCTGATCCACAAATGTCTTTTCCACATTTCTTTACATATTTTTCTTTGAGAACATGCATTGATAAAGGATTTTTTTTCAAGATCCAGAAATGATTTTTCTTTTAATTGCGGATATGAAATGTAAAATGCATTAAAGAAATTAATTATCAGTTAAAAAACGGGGGTCACCGATCTTTTTAGGGAATTGTGGCATTAAAACGTGAAAAACAAGTAAATAAATATACTACAGACACAGTGAACCCTAGCTACACTTTTGTATGCCTTTTTTTGAAAACATTGATTTTAACGTAATTCTTTGCATGAATGTAACCAAAGATGTTTTGAAGTAACATAAAATTGTCATAAAATTATATTTTTTTAAACGGTACGTATAATGGATGAAATTATAAGTTATAAGATGTGCGCAGTAAAAGTGCGCAATGCAAAACTGCGGAATTATCTTAATTCCCTATAACACAAGATATATGTCAAAGTTGGATTATACCTTTCCTGATGCATCTGCATGCAGAGTATGTATAACAGTATAAGGCCCAGTTACTTTCGATATCAGCTGTACGTTTTGGTTTTCGTTTGGATTGTTGCCCGTATCTGTTGTTCTGCGCCTGAACAACTGTATGGTACTACTGAACCAAGCAACCTACTACAAGACCAACTTTATATCCCATATTTCCCATACCTCTTTATTTTGTACATGAACTAATTATGTATACTTAGTCCTCTTTTGACTTCCAATGAATTAGTTAATCTGGCACGAAATGAAAAGTAATACGAATTCCCATGTAACTATAGGGCCTAAGAAATTACTTCTCGGGGTATAACTACAATCTTGGCTAAAAGCTCGTTGAACGACAAAACAAATTCGCAACTTAATTTTTAATATACTTGGGTTTTAAAATCGTGTTACACCTCCCCCCGCTCTCCCATTCAATGTTACTCTCCCACATTTCTGGTAAGCGTACAATTTTATCTGTACTCTGTACAGTATGTCAGATCATAAATTTATACGAAACGCCTTAAAAATGCACAAATATTTATCGTCGTCCTACACGTTTTATGGCCAAGATTGTATATACAGTGTGAGCATGTCAAATAGTTTTTCAAACCATGTTGTACTTACCTCGTCCTGACTGATAAAACCACGAACGGGAACAAGTTCCTTCTAAGCCACCACATTTGACAAGAAGTATAAGTAGTTGAAAACGCAATTGTGTAGATATTTCCAAACTAAACATGTTGAACTTTTAATGAAAAACGTCTGTAAATAAAAAAAAATGGGATACTTTTTATAATAATAATTATAGTAGACAAAACTCCTCGCCATCTGAAGCGCTGACTGTGTGGAACTCGATAACACTAGAGAAACGAAAGTGTTATTATAGTCTTTTGTATACAAATGCGTTAATGGTTATATAAATAATTCGATGGAACTTTTAACACAAGGTGAAACATGCCGAAACATATCATTACAATTAATCTTCCACGTACGGAAGGTAATCTTAATGTCTCTATTTCGTCCGAACTCTTCAAGCCTGCATGGTATATATATATATATATATATATATATATATATATATATATATATATATATATATATATATATATATATATATATATATATATATATATGTATATATATATATATGTTGTGTAGTAACTACTGGATAGTTACATAACTTTAATTGTTTGCACTATTTTACTCTACTGTATTACAGCCTAATGCAGTTAAAAAAGTTTCCCGAATAAATATTACTAATATTACTACTACTTACTTTTTATAATGCAATTATACTGAGGCAACAGTCTTATACCCTAGATTCCTTCATTGGATGAAACAGGCCAGGACAACTTTCAGCTAAACGAAGTTATAGCATGGCTACATATATCTTAAAATAAACTCCAAACCTGTAAGTGAATTAAGCATTAATATCCCACGTTGCGTGTTTTTCCCCAAGCCCATGCAGTACCTGTTATAAGTCATATACGTAGTGAGGAAACAGGTACGTACCATTTTGTGCATTTTTACTGGGCAAGAACTTACGGATTAATTAGTGGAAATATCAGAAAACTTAATTTCCCCCCGATAGAAATTGAGTTGAAAATTGAAGGCACACTATTTTGGCATGATTATAATATATCGACAGCTTACTAACATAACTGCCTATGTCACTTTTGGGCCATTTTTGGATTATTGCCTAACTACACTGCCTTTTGAGCGATCTAATCGGGTGCATATATAATGACATGATTAGCCAATCACAGCTCTGCTTACATGGCTTGCAATGTTTTTGCCTATCTCAATTGTGTGACATAGGCAATATGTTTGGGTAGTATAAATGCCTAAGTCAGGTTTAACACACATTAACACTACACTGGAACTTTTACAGTGTTTCACATTTTCTGCTTTTCTTTTTGTTATACATGTTTAGAAGAACTATAATAAAATAGCAACTTTCGAATGTTTCCGACTTATTTTTGCATTTTTCTCAAAATGCTAGAAACTGAGTTAGGCAATTATGTTAGTAAGCTATATATTATATAGACCATTATACAGCGAACATTGCACCGGATAATTGTTTATGTACAGGTATATGGTCGCGTTGGTAACAATGACGCATAAACTGTATTGTACGAGTCGGTAAGTCTTTTACATTATTTTATTCTAACTCAAATTATCCATTTTATTTAGCTTCTTTTTAAATTCTTCCTTGAAATTTTCGAATCCTGCAGTTCTCAGTGACAGCAGGTATATAGCATGTTTAAAACCAATCATGGACGTAAAACTATTACATAGCCATGTTTATTTTTAATGATTGTCGCTCATTTTTTTAAAACTAACTGGCCAAATAAATTGTTAAAAAGATGCGAACAAAACACTTTTGTCAGCGGGTGGCTTTCCTGTGTGTACGGTTAATTGAACTGCTCAAGTCAGTGTCATCTATTTCGCAAAATTTTTGCTTGCGGTGTCCACTATGATTTGACCTCCAGTGCGTTGGAAAAGTAAAATCTGGCTAACGTTGTAATGTTTTTTACACGTTGCTGTCCAATTCAAAACTTTAGATAATTAG